GTTCTATTGGACAGAGATGGTCTAAATTGGAGACTGGCAAACCACAGTCCTATTCTGGCTTCCTGCCTGTTTTTACCAATAAAGTTTTATTGGCACACAGCCACGCCCATTCAGTGACTTGTCTGTGGTTGTTTTCTGCTTTTCGTAGATGGGACGGGGCTGAACGGCCGGCAAAGCCAACAATAACTACTCTCTGATCCTTTACGGGAAAAGCTGACTGACCCTTGGCCTAGAACATTTTAGAACTACTGCTCAGTGTGGAAGCCAACAGCCACATGTGGCTACTTGAAATATGGCTTGCGTGACTGAGGAACGGAATTTTGTTTACTTGTGTTTAAGTACAATTAATACAAATATAAGCCTAAATATAAGCCTAAAAACTGATACCCGACTCCATTCTTGGAAAATCTTTAGTCTATTTAGAACAAACTGGACAGGCGAAACCTACTTTTTCAAATGTTGATTTTATAAAATGCAGAGACAGCGCGAACATCCCTGATAACAGTGGAGCATGCAGGTGAGACGGACCACGGGTGTGCAGCACACTCACCGGATCTGGGGACACTTGGGATTGAAAAAAGGATGAAAAAAGGCACGTGCACTATTTTGTTCATAATTTTTATGTGGGCTGTACTGACCACCCATTGAAATGATAAGATTTTGGAGATACTGGGTTCAAGTGAAAGATAGTATTAAGATTCATTTCACCTGTTTCTTTTTTCTCTCTCCATGTTGCTCCTAGAAAAATTTAAATGCTATATGTGGCTTGCATTATATTTCTACTAGCACTGTTCTAGAATGTTCACCAGCTCCTTGTTCTCCTAAACAGGGTTTCTCAGCCCTGGTGCAGTTGATCTGGGGCTGGGTCATTCTCTGTTGTGAGAGGCCATCCTGGGCGCCGTAGGGTGTTGACAAGCATCCTGGCCTCTGTCCACTCAATGCCAGTAGCATCTCCCAGTCACAATGATCACAAACGTCCCCAGACATTGCCCAGTGTCACTGGGGGCAGTAAACTCCCCCATTAGGCTCCCGTGTGCTCCCGCACTCAGCACACCAGGCAGGCTCCTGCCTCTGAATCTTGGTACGCTCTGTCCGCACACCACGTCCATCTGCCACAGTCCTGCCATCACTCAAGACAACACAAATGCTTCCCTCTCCAAGAACCCGCCCTGTCTGCCCTCCACGAGGCCATCAATGCGGATCGCCTGGTTCTCCCTTGAGATGCTGTCCCAGGCACCCCTACATCGGGCTGTTCATTTTGTGGTCACACCCCCTGCAGTGGGTTGAATGGTCATTCCCTCTAAAAATATGTCCAAGTCCTGACCTCTGGAATCTGTGAATGGGACCTGACTTGGAAAAGGCATCTTTACACCCGTAATTAAGAGATAGATCTCGACATGAGGTCATTCTGGGTTTAGGGTGAGCCCCAGAATCCAATGGCTGGTGTCCTTACAAGAGAAAGGCAGAGGTGGAGACACAGAGGAGAAGGCCCAGTAGTGATGCAAGCAGGGATCGCAGCGATGAGTCCCCAGGCCAAGGATTGCCAGCGACCACCAGAAGCTGGGAGACAGCCTGGACTAGAGCCTCCCCGAGAGCCTCCAGAGGGAGTGTGGCCCTGCTGGCACCTTGATCTCAGGCTCTGGCTCCTGGGCCCTTGAGGCAGTAAGTTTCTGAGGCTTTACGACATCCAGTTAGTGGTGTTTTGTTAGGGTGGCCCTAGGAGATTGATACACCCCCAGATCTACTCCCACGCTGAAAGCCAGGGTCTGCCCTCGAGGAGCCCCCGATTTAAGGGGAGACAGGCAGATGCAGACAGCCCAGCCCCGAGGGGTCAGGGATAAGCACAGGGAGGAGGTACCAGGTGCCACCTTGAAGGCAGAGGAGAGATTCTCCAGGTGGAAAACAGCTCCCCTGAGTCCTCAGACATGATTACAGGGGTTGCTGTTCCTGTGGGGTCCTTGGTCTCTGGGGAGTGAGGAATTTCTAGGAACTAGGGACTTGCAGAGACCAAAACGTAAGGACTTAACATCTCCCAAAATAGAATCCACTTTGCATGCACACTTCCTGCAATTCTCTCTCCAGCCTGGTCAGATGGAGGTGGTGAGACCCATTTCAGAGATAAGAGTGACTGAGCCTCTGAAGGAAAGACATTGTCAAAGCCTTGGGAGGGGTGGAGCTGGGATGTGAACCCACAGGACCACAGAGTGGGGAGGAGGGGCTCTGGAGAGCAGGATGTGGGGACTGCAGGCTGGGGGGCAGGGGCTGGGAGGGGGAAAAACCCATTCAAAGGGGAGGGGATGTGGTGGTCAGTTTGAGCTCTGCTGGGTCTGGGGTGCCGGGGGAGTCCCGAGGGGGTGACTTCTGCACACAGAGCTAGCGATAGACGTGTAGCATAGTGCCTTGAAAACAGCAGGTGCTCAATAAAAGTTTGCTGGCTGGTTGGCTGGATAAATGGATGAAAGAATTGGGTCCACTGACTGGTCAGGGAGAGTTAGCAGACAGAGAAGGACAGAGAGCCCTGAGTCTGACACAGAGAAGGAACGCTGGTGATGTAGCATCTTTACATTCCAAGGAGACCTTGGACTGGAGACCAGCCTGGTGAGAGCAGCCCGGGATGCAGGGAGGGAGAGCTCCTTAGCTCCTGGCTCTTCCACCTTCTCCCATCTTCCTTCCCCACTTCCGACAGAGCCCAGAGCTCAGCTTCAGCCTCCAACACAGAGGAAACTGGTTCCCAGGCCCCTGTGGCCTCAGGAAGCCAAAGGCACTGGCTTTGGGCCTCAGTGATCCCACCAGGAAAGTGGGAGCAGGGGAATGGGGAAGAGGGCCTTAGCCATGGGGACTACTGGCAATGTTGGCAAATCTCTAGGCAAGTATTGATTTCTCTGGACAGAGGAGTCAGAGGTTCCAATCAGGATCTGATGCTACAAAAACATGGTCCACTGTACATGGAAGGACTGAGCAACAGGACAGGGGGCTGGCCACCAGCGCGGGGTCTGCACTCAGACCGTGAGGTCACCTCCCTGCTGTGCTGCCTGCAGGCTGCCTGGCCTTGGACCAATCTACTATCAAGCTTGGTCACTCCAGGTTTCCCCCACCTCTTCCCCAGCCTAGGCCCCTGGCACCCAGTGAGTGGCCAGGATAGAATGTGGCAGGGATTGTAGTGTGTCATAAAAGGTGTGATGACTTCCACCTTGCTGGCCCCTCGGATCCTGTGCCCTGGGGGAAGCCAGCCACCGTGCTGTGAGGCCACTCAAGCAGCACTGTGGAGATGCCCACAGGGAGACGAGCTGAGGCCTCCAGCCGAAAGCCGAGCCAGCTTGAAGGTAGATTCGCCAGCCACAGTCAAGCTCTGCTGATGTCTCCACGGCAGCCTCAGGAGAAATCCTCAGCCTGTGCCAGGCAGCAAACTCGAGCCCCAGTCCTCGACCCCTGGCGACTGTGAGATAACTGAACGCTGGTTTTTTGAAGCCACTAACATGCGTAACCTGTGGTGCATCAGGAGATAGCCAGCACAGCCCACAGAACTCCACCGTGCCCCTGGGGGCCAACTGCAAGGGCAGACTTGCCCTCCCGTTCCTGGTTGGTCTGGGGAGATACTGGCAGGGGGCCCAAGGGAGGGAGAAGACTGAATTCTGGGTGGTGTTTATTCTACAGGCTCTAAGGCACCTTTGCTTGTGCTGTTCCATCTCCTGGCATGCCCTTCCTTCTCACCTGTCAAGCCTCTTCTCAAATGCCACCTCCTCAGTGAAGCCCTCCATGACCTTCTCAACAGCGCCCTCCCTATGCCCCGCCCAGTTATACCCGTCCAGTGCTGACAGTCACAGAGTTACTGGCTGTGTCACACAGCGAGAGCTAAACAAGGAGGCTGCTGATGTGGCTGCAAGCTCTTGCCTATGCCACTTCAACCCCTGAAGAGGGGCTCTTGATTCTGCAAATGAGATTGAGAACCAACCCCCACTCCGGAACGTTTTGATGATTGTTCAGAGTTGAGTCAAAGTCATGCCACAGCCTCATGTCCCTGGCTGGCGAAGCCCACACTGTCCACTGTCAGCCGTGCTGCTCCCAGGCTCCCAGCACTGATGGCATGGTGCCACACAAGCATCCCCCGAATTCCCTTGATGCTGAAGGGCCCTGAGATTTCCAGAGGGAAGGGCCATCCTCCCTGCTCCCCGCTGGACACCAGAGCTCCTGGGGTCGGGTACCATGGTTCTCACTGTGGCTCCTTCAATTTCCATCAAGAGGCAGTGCCTGGAGACCCAGCTCGGCTGGCTAAGGGGGGCCACCCATCCTCTACTGGGGGCAGGGACCTCCTGCCCATCCAAAGAGGACAGGGCTGACCAGAGACACCGGCAGGGACAGAGCCTGGGCCAGCCTCCCCTGGGGAGGAAATACTGCATCAGGAGCTTCTGCATTAAGGGGCCATAGTTTTATCTGCTCCATAGGGAGAAGGGAAAAGAAAAGCCCTTTCCTTTTAATGGTGAGAGGCAGGTGGAGTCTAGGCTCCTCCCTGAGGCCCACAGGCCCTGCATGTCTGCCTCTGTCCCCTCCCCTGCCCTCCCCTCCCTCTCTCTCTCCCCCTTGCTCACTCTGCTCCAGACACACGGGCCTCCGGACTGTTCAACTTTTCCTCCAACACACCAGGCAGGATCCTGCCTCAGGGCCATTGCACAGGCTGTTCCCTCTGCCTGCTAACGCTTCCTCATCCTTCAGGTCTCAGCCCAATGACACTCGCATGATGAGCCAGGTGCCCTTGTACAGTGTGCAACCTGCACAACCACACACAACCACCCTGGTATGAAGTGCAGGGCACGGTATGCAGTAGGCACACCAGGAATGCTCATTCTGGTGATGAGTTCTGCCTCTCCGCTCCTTATACCTCTTTCTGAGATCAGAGGTATGTGGGCTTCACCGCTGATCCCAGGAAGGGCCTCAGCCTTCTCCAGGCTGAGAGCAACTCCTCCTCCAACCGTCCCCCTTCCCAGACATCACCCAGGACTCACCCCGGGCAAGGTCTTCTGTTCGTGCAGGGCAGTCTGAGCTTTAATGGCAGAGTCCCTGGCACAGTAGGTGAGAAAGGCACAGCCTGGAGGGGAGAGAAATAGGAATGTTCAGAGAAAAGGATGTTATGCACCCATGTTCACAGCAGCATTCTTCACCATAGCCAAGAAGTGAAAGCAACCCAAGTGTCCATTGATGGATGAATGGATAAACTAAACGTGGCCCACCCATACAACGGAATATTAGCCTTAAAATAGAAGGAAATTCTGGCACCTGCTACAATATGGATGCACATTGAGGATATTATGCTGAGGGAAATAAGCCAGCTCCAGAAGGACACACACTCACAGGAGGTCCCTGGAGGAGTCACATCCACAGAGACAGGAAGTAGACGGTGGGGCCGGGGCTGGGGGAAGGATGGGGGTCAGTGTTTCATGAGGACAGAGCTGCAGTTTGGGAAGATAAGGAAGTTCAACGAATATATGTATGTTCATGTATAACTGAAAAATTGTGCTCTACACTGGAATTTGACACAACATTGTAAAATGACTATAACTCAATAAAAAAATGTTAAAAAAAAGGAAGTTCTGGAGATGGATGGAGGGGATGGTCGCACAACAGTGAGTGAGTGTGCTTCATGCCACTGAGCTATGGTTAAAATGGTAAACTTTACGTAAAGTGTATTTAACCACAATAACAACTTTTTTGGAAAGAAAAGAAGGGGAAATGGTTAAGATGGTAAATTTAGCGTTATATGTATATTACTACAATTTAAACAATGAAGAGAAGAGGAGGCTGGAGCCCCTCCGGTGGGGGGGGGGCAGTAGGGGTAGCTCAGCTCTCCCCCTCCACTCTCACGCTTCCCAGAGGGTGAGACAGGGGACGGCAGAGCAGTGTCAGATGGCGCTGAGGAGCTGGGCGAGGTGGGGAGGGAGGAGAGGGGAGGCCAGAGCCGCGGCCCCGGGGAGGAGGTGGGGAGGGCACCAGCAGCCCCGGCACCGGAATGAGGAGCGCGGCGTCTCCGCCACCAACCGCTCTGTGGCTTCGGATGGCGCGCTGCCCTTGTCTGGGCCTCAGTTTCCCCATCCGAGGGGACGGTCCGAAAGTGCCTCGGGAAGAACCAACCAAAAGGTGGGGGCAGAGCTAGAGGGGGTGTGGCGCTGCGTCTAAGCGCAGGGCCAATCGGGAGAGGCGAGGGGCGGGGCCGGCCCCGAAGTGGCCCAGAGCGAGGGTGTGATTGGACGACGCCCTGGGGAGGCAAAGCGTGAGAGCCGCAGAGACGGGAAACGCCGAGAGACGAGCGCCAGGAGAGAAGTGAGCAGAGAGAACCCAGAGAAGGGCCAGAGAGGTCAAAGGCATTTTGAAAGATGTTGGCCCGAGGGAGGGTGGGGGATGCAGGCCGGTGTCGGGCTCTCTGGATGGACACAGCGGTCCGGGCCTCAGCGCTGGGCTTTGCCTCTCTAACCTCCCTGGACCTGTTTCGCCGTCTATGAAACGAGACCACCGCTGGCTGTTCTGATGCTGTCGGACCCTGGGGCCCCCACCCCCGCTCCCTCCTCACGGTCTCTCTGCCTCCCCCTACGGGGACCCCCTGAGCAGAGCCCCTGGGAACAACTCCGCGGTGCCCACTTCCGCCCCAGGCTGTAGCTAATTAAAGCGGCATCCTGTGAGCTGCGCTCACTAAGCGGCTGCTCCCACCAGCTGGGCCTGGTGATGGGGAGGGGTCCTCATCACCAAGCCTGAGAGACGCCCTGGAGCGCTGGGGAGGGGGTCACCAGGCAGAGCTGAGGACAGTTTCTAGCATTCAAAAAACATTTGTGCTGGGTATGTAAAATGGTGCGGATGCTGTGGATAACAGTTTGCAAGTTCCTCAAAAAAGTTAAACATAGAATTACCACGTGATCCAGCAATTCCACTTCTGAGTACACACCTGAATATAAGAATTGAAAGCAGAGACTCGAAGAGTTATTTGCACACCCATGTTCTTAGCGGCATTATTCACAATAGCCTAAAGGTAGAAAGAACCCAAATATCCATCAACGATGAGTGGATAAGCAAAAAGTGGTCCATCCACCCAAGGACCACAAAGGAAGAAAACACTGACACGTGCTGCATGGACGAACCCTGAAGACAGGACGCTCAGTGAGAGAACCAGACCCAGAAGGACACACAGTGTGAGTCCACTCACAGGAGGGCCTGGAGGAGTCACATCCACAGAGACAGGAAGTAGGCGGTGGGGCCGGGGCTGGGGAAGGGTGGGGATTTGGTGTTTCATGGGGACAGAGCTGCAGGTTGGGAAGATGGGAAAGCTCTGGAGATGTGGTGGGGTGATTGCAATGTGAATGTGCTTAATGCCACTGAGCTGTGCACTTAGACCTGGTTACGATGGTAAATTTTGTTATATATTTTACCAGAATAAAAAAATTGCAATTGGGATGTATTACAAGCATCTCATCTTTATATGTGGTGTGTGCTTATCCTTTTTGGTCATATCTGATGCACAAATCTTCTCCCAGTACATGCCTCGTCTTTCTACTCTGTGTGTGTGTGTTTCTATTTTCTGAATGGAATCTCCCCAGGTCTTCAGGGAAAGGAGAGACACTAAGAAAATTAGCCACAAGGCCTGAGAGAAATTAGACAGGACTGTCAAGGAATTGGGCCACAGGGAAATGTAAAAAAGGGGCAAACCCCTTAAACTTTGGGTCCTTTCCTGCCAGTGGAGCCCTGTATGCAGAACATGGAGTGTGTTGGCCCTCAGAGTGTAGGTGGGACCCCCGAGCCACCTTCCATCAGCCTCTGGTCTGGAAGCTTTGCAACGAGAGAGGGAAAAAACTTAAACAAAACGCGAGCCGCTGTCCCTGGTACTGAAATGTTTTCCTGTTCTCTTGGCCCTGTTGCTTCTCCGCCTCCTAGTTTCTTTTCTAGTTGCTGAAAACGAGTGACACTCACCAGTTTCTGGATAAACAGAGACTTGAATTTCAGTCCCTACTAGGGTTGAGTTGCTTCCCATTCTCCCAAACCCCTATGTTGCTCTCCTAAGCTCCAGGGCCCAAGCATGTGACCTTATTTGGAAACAGGGTTGTTGCAGATGTAATTAGTTAAGGTAAGGTCACACGGGAGTGGAGCGGCCCTAATCCAGTAGGACTGGTACCCTTAAAAGGGAGAATCTGGACACAGAGACATGTACACGGGGAGAACGCCACGTGAACGTGAAGGTGGGAATCTGGTGCGTCTCCAAGTCAAAGGACAGTCAGGACTGCCAGCACCACCAGAAGCTGAGACAGAGGCCTGGAAGGAGCCTCAGAAGGAGCCAGTCCTGCAGACACCTTGGTCTCAGGACTGTGAGAGAACACGTTTCTGATTCTTAAGCCACCTGGTTTGCAATTCATTGTTTAAGCAGGTTTTAGTGATGTTAATACGAAGGGCATTCATTTCTCATGCTAATAAGCTTAGACTCAGCACCGACTCATTTAACCCTCACAACAACCCCACGAAGGAGCTGTTAGCATCGTCCTCATTTTACTGATGAGGGGTTGGAGTACAGAGAGGGCAAGTGACTTGCCCAAGGTCACACAGGGGAACATCCCAGGCTCCCTAAACCACGTGCTAACCACTGAAGTACACTGCCTGGAGTTAGCATCTTTTCTAAAAATTTCCCCCAGGGCCAATGGGAGTCGGAGAGTCGCAGGCCCCTGCCTTACCTTCCCTATAAGGAACCTTGA